AAGAGTTGATAACCAACTGAAAAAGGATCATGGCAGAGAATCTAGGGTAATTTGGAATTTTGATTTGGGTAACTGGATAGATGGATTGACTGAGAAGGGAATTCTGCAGAATTAATGTTGGGAGGATTGGACCAGAAAGGATGAGTGCAAGTTTGGTAAAGATTTTGAGGTGGTTGCAGAATCTCCAAGTGGAGATACTTGTTTTGTGTGAAATTGGATATGTTGATCCAGAATTTGAGAGAAGTTTGAACTAAGGAAATTTATTGATATAGTTATTCAGAAGTTTAGAAGAGATGTTCCAACCATAGGCTTTGTAAAATGACAGGATAGGAGAGAGTTGTGAGGAACACCATCATTTAGGAGTCTCAAAGAAGACTACCTGAGAAGAGGTAAGAGGGTCAGAAGAGAGTGGTATATACCAGAAGAAGTGTTTGATGGTAAGAATGGTCAGCACTACCACATCACAACTGAAGGCCGAAGAATGACGCTAGAAAAGAAAGGAGCGATCTTTTTGGAGCGGTTGAGGCAGTGATGGATGCAGTGAGTATACACTAATGGCCACAGTCAGACTTTGAAAGAAGCGGTTCTGTAATTGTGATTAAATAATGTCTATGAATTTGTCAGCTGCCCTTGAATAGTTGTTGGTTCATTATAAAAATGTCTGGAGCTCCTGGGTGGCTCAGTCGGTTGAGCATCTGACTCTTGATTTTGGCTCAAATCATGATCTCAGGGTTGTTAGATTGAGCCCTGCGTCGGGCCCCACACTTAGCGGGGAGTCTGCTTGAGATTCTCTCCTTCTCATATTTGCACACATGCAGTCTCACTCCTCTCTCAAAAATATTTTTTAAAAATGATTAGTATATAGGGGTGCCTGGGTGGCTTAGTGGGTTAAAGCCTCTGCCTTCAGCTCAGGTCATGATCCCAGGGTTCTGGGATGGAGCCCCGCATTGGGCTCTCTGCTCAGTGGGGAGCCTGCTTCGCCCCCCGCCCCCCGCCTGCCTCTCTGCCTGCTTGTGATCTCTGTCAAATAAATAAAATCTTAAAAAAAAAAAGATTAGCATATAGACATAAGAAATAGAAGTATAGATAGGAACCACAAGGTTTTATGAGTTATGCCCTTTTTTACATGGACATGGATTGGTTTTATTATATATTGCAAGAATTATAAAGAAATCATGATTTTACAAGTGAAGCATGACCCATCATAAGGACAATAAGTACAGTAGACATGCAGTGACATTTTAATTGTTCTTGCTTAGATCGCATGGCTGCCCCAGATATCTAGTCCTGTCTGGCCATATTTTCACCAAGAGTTAAAACGATTGCTGAGCTGGTTTCTGGAGAGTGACTGCAGACATAGTTTGTCTTCTACCTATTCTCATGGCCCTTAGGCCTTTTGGCACATAAAGGGAAGATACTGTCTTATAATAACCCCTCCTCCTGCCACACCATTCTTGTAAAAATAAAATACACTGGACTACTTACAGAACAAAAAAGTGGTCAGAAAACTTTGCTTTCTCTCTCTTAGAACTTACTCCATCTGCTGTCCTAGTCACTAAAGTGGATGCTTTCCTTAGCTCAGTACTTGACAGTAAAGAGCAGAAGGAATTTACTGTGTGAATGGCTTTAAACCTTGGCCTCAGTGACCCTTCTGAAATCACATTGGGTGATGGTTTCTTTCAGTAAAACCAGGGTTTGGTGTTAGAGCAGGGTTCTTGTAGAGAAAGCTTACAGGTCCATTTCCATGACAAAAGAGAGACCTGAGGAATATTTGTTGCCTCGATGTTGTTCCAGCGTTAGGTAGTTGAAGTCAGAGGTACAGCAGTCAGAGTTTCACGGCCTTTTGGTCCTTCCAGTGGACCAGCTGCTTTGGAATATATAGTGGAACACTATATATCAGGAGCAGTTTCTACTTGCTCCTGAATGTGTCACCACACTTAACAAATGTTTATCCCCCCTCCTGAGGTAAATGGCCAGGGGTCCTTGGCTTAGAAGAGTGTTTTCATGGTTCTTTATCAAAGTCTACTATGCTAAGCACTCTTTACATAATAGAACTGAAAGGCATTTTTCTGGAATAATGAAGTTACTCTTAAAAGTAAGCAGTTGGGAAGTAAATTGGAGATCAACCCTGTCATACTACACAGTTCTTGCAACACAAAGTTCTGAGGACACCAAAATGAGTGTAGTTGCCATTTATAAAAGATTGCAGATCTACTCTATTTCTTTTCTTTTAAAAAAAAAATTTAACAGATACAAGTAAAGAGGCAGGCGGGGCGGGGGGGTGGGGAGCAGCATCCCTGCTGAGGAGAGAGCCTGACTCGGGGCTCTATCCCAGGACCCTGAGACTATGACCTGAACCAAAGGCAGAGGCTTAAACCCACTGAGCCACCCAGGCGCCCCCAACTCTGAGTATTTTTTTTTTTCTAAGATTTTATTTATTTGACAGAGATCATAAGTAGGCAGAGAGGCAGGCAGAGAGAGAGGAAGAAGCAGACTCCCTGCTGAGTAGAGAGCCGGATGCGGGGCTCCATCCCAGGACCCTGAGATCATGACCCGAGCTGAAAGCAGAGGCTTTAACCCACTGAGCCACCCAGGTGCCCCGCAACTCTGAGTATTTCTAGTATGTCTGTCATCCATACCTAATGTGGGACTCTGCAAATGGGCATGGTATGTAGATACTTCATATGTGTGTGTATATATCTTCTTTGTTTAAGCTACAGATTTTCATTCAACATATATTTAAAACTTTTCTTAAACTGTTAGGCCAGAATCGTCAAATCTTAGAGTTATCCATCTTGTGATATGTGGACTTCATATCTTTTTTGGATGTTGCCAGTGGTAGGGAGCTCATTCCGGTTTTGAACATACCAGAAAATTAGTATAAAGAAAACAAACTTTCTTTTTTTTCGGGGGAGAGGGGGATGGGAGAGAATTTTAATACATTCACAAATTAAACAAAAGGACAACATACTGTAGACACAACTTAAGACAATTTAGAATCATAAACAAAATGTGAGGTAGACCAACTAGTGAAATTCACCAAATTTTGGTTGAGAAAACTTTACAGTAATAAAGTATCACAGGTGCCTCCTTTTCTAAAAATCACAAAAAGCAATTGCATAAGTTACAGCCAAAATAATTGAATACAATTCTCATTCTAATTTTAGTTTACATTCAGTATTAACCTGTGAACTGTCCTACATGACAAGGTTCAACAGGTCTATAGATTAGTTATTATGTAGGCCTAGCAAACACTCATACCACAATGTTCTAAAGGATGGCAAGGCTTGAAGCTGAACACACCAAGGTATGTATTAACAAATCATGGTGTCCTGTGCTTGTGCAATTTTATCCTTAAAGGAGAAGGACCTAACATTCTCTAAAGAATTATACTGTTAAGGTGATTTTAAAAGATCCAAACCTTAGTATTACAGGCATTGAAAAGAATAGGGAGGTCAGTTGGAATTCTCCATCATTGGGGTGATGGTCCTTTGGCTTTTTTCTGGCATTTCTCTTCCATAGGGTTACATAGTATCTAAGAGATCAGTTATTTGATTTTTCAGAGTACCATGGAGTACCTGCATCTAAAGTTACTACTTTAAAAAACACACTCTAGACTTTGAAGCCCTAAAGCCAGAAGAAACCCTGAGAAGCCATCTGCCCCAGGTACAACTGTTACGGAATTATTTCAAGTATCTTATTTGCTCTATATAGTAAATGTTATTGGAATATTGCACAAACAGTGGGTTTCTTGATATCATCTGCATTAGGCCCTTTCAGCAAAACAGGAACAATTGAAATACATTCATTTCTAAAGCAACCTGCTTCAAAACGTACCTCTTTACCAAAAATTCTGCTGTACTAAAATTAAGGAGTATTTTTAAAGAATACATAAGGCAGATCCTCTTTGAAGGGCAATTTTAAAAGTGGGGTTTAAAGGAATTGTTCATTTCAAAATACATTTAAAGCATCATAAGTAGCTATATTAAAACCAAGAGATCTGCAAACCATTTTCAGATTAGTGAATTCCATCTTTTCACTACTGTAAACTCCTTGTTATCACAAGCTAATAAAGCTGGTCAGTTAACATCATTTGTTTTAAGTAAATGCAGGCTTAGCCCCCTTTCAGTAGTTTCAGGCCACAGATAAGACATCAATTCAAGTAAAAATGGCCATTTTAAGTGGTATATACGGGCTAATAAGAAAAATGTGAACGAGATTGTTTAATGATAACTAATTTAAGCATAAACTTCTAATAGACTTAGTTGATTCTAGAACATTTTCTAAAAGTCTGTTTTTGATTAAAATATATTGGTGAGAAATCTGGAGAAACTTACACTGTTGATATTGAACAAACACCCCCTGCTGATTTTAGCTGAGTCAGAGACATTATTTAATGGAATCTTTCTTTCTTCTCACAAAAGAATCACTGGTAGGATTAAAACCGGTTATGTCTCTCTCTCTCTCTGTCTCTGTTTCCCATTTCATCAATTTTTGTGGTGGTGTCGGTATAAGGTAGGTGATAATCATTCAGTGTGTCTTTTAAAGGAGGCTTTGGTTGAGGCCCTGAAAGGAAACAAACTACTTCCACTCCACACCGAACCGAACCACAGCCTGACGTTTGGCTTTCCTGGTGCCGGCTACTTCGTTCCAGCCAAACAGGGTGGGTATGGGGTGACCACTGAACAGTTTTTAATTGGCTCAACTACTGAATTAGGTTCTCCTTGTTCAAGATTAAACGCTGGTCCATATTCTCATAGACATAGTGTGCTTAGAGACGGGAAACATTTTTAAAGAATGTAAAGAGCAAAGGAATTTCAGCAAGGAGAAGCTGCATAAATGCATACAGTGCCTGCTCTGCATTTACTGATTTGTTTGTTCAGTTTAAATAGTAAACTTTTAACTCCTGTGGAAATTTTGCCAAAAGTTTCAATACATATAAGATTATAAATCTTAAACTAACACTGCACAGAGAAAGACAAAGCTACTTTTTTTTTTTAAAATACAAATATCTTCTACATTCTATCATTTCAGACCCCTGAGTAAAACTGTACCAAAGTACAGATCTGAAGAGAAACTGAGGGTTCAGGCCTCAAACGTTAATCTTCAATTAATTCCACACCAACGGTGTGAGTCTCATGTAACACATTCAGACTAGCTAATGCCGAGAGTCTGTTTTCCCCCTAACATAGTGTAGTAGAAAAAACAATGCAAACTCCATGTTCATTCTCCAAAGTACGTCCTCCTCAGGCTCCCATGGCAGACCATGTCTTAAGTAATTGCATAACTGCCTAGGGTGGAGTTAACCTGAATTTAAGATCCTGACAGTGGAACTGAAAGAGAATGATAGCCCCAAAGACCTGGGTCAAGTTGGGGTTGGAGGGGTGGATTTCTTTGGAGAACAAATATGTTGCACTTTGCTCCACAGTGATTGTACCTTAAAGGAAAAAAATCCCAAGTAATTGTTTCTGCCCCACCCCACCTAGGCATCCCTTTGCTGTGTTTGGTCTCTTCAAAAGGTCATACGTGGCGGCCAGTAAGAAAGTAGAGGGGCTTGTCATCACTGCTGTTAGCGGTTTGAAACTCGTCCCGGAGGCGGAACTGCCACTCATCCTCTAGCTCTAAGCGGACAATTGTTTGGCGTAAGGAGCTTCTGTCTTGGCAGATGACACATAGGGTAGCACCTTCAGAAGAAACGCAGAAATGCATGTTAGGCTCAGGGGCTGAAATATAAAGAACCTACTATTTTTTTCTGATTATGTCCTCTAAGCTGAACACATCTGAGAACCAACATGTAGGTAAGTGACCTATCACAATCATTCGTAATAATTTTATTTTCTATTTGAGTAAGTAGTATTACAAATTCAGTTTAAGAGCGTAAAGTGAAAAATCTCTCCTTGCCCTCTGGTAACCAATGGTAAAACAAGTGTCCTGTGTCTCTAGGGCTTCTCTGCCTTAGCAACACTGGGTAATCTTGTTACGGGGGGCTGTCCTGTTCGTGTAGGGTGGTCTAGCAGCATCCTTGGCTCTACTCACTAGATGTCGGCAGCGCCCTCCAGTGCGGCAACCTAAAATGTGTCCCACTATTGCCAGATGTCCCCTGGGAGGCAGCCCCCTTGCCCCACACCGCTCCAGGCGCATTTTATGCATACATACACAATATCCTCTGTTCTTAAATTGTACATATGAGTAAAATCATACAGTATTTGTCTTTTCTCTGAACTTATTTCACTTAGCATTATATACCCTTTAGGCCCATTCATGCTGCTGCAAATGGCAAGATCTCTTTTTATGGTGGAGTTAATCCACTGTATATAAATACATCTTCCTTATTCATTCATCTATGGTGGGACGCTTGGGTTGCCTACAAATATTACCTTTTGTGAGTAATGCTACAATAAACACTGGGGTGCATGTATCTTTTTGTGGTAATGTTTTCATTTTCTTTGGGTGAATACCCAGTACTGGAATTAATGGATATATGATTAATCCTATCTTCAGTTTTTGAGGAAACTCTACACTGTTTTTCCACAGTGGCCTGTGCACAATATTCTGAGTCTTAACTTTCTTCACTGACCTCAGAGGTCATCCTGTCATGATTATTTGTGGTGCTTAATCTGCAGTTTGTTCTTAGGCAGATCTCTTTTGTATTGTACACACCTGTTGAAGCAACTTTAGCTTCTATACCAGAATTAAAACTCATTAACCTGATTTTTATTAAAATTAGGTGATTTGAGAAGCACTGTTTATAACACTTACATCGCATCATTCCTTTCTGAAATTAATAGTGGTAAAACCAAACTTAATGTGGTCACATTTCTGGCTTTGTGTCTGCATTTTTGCCCTGACTTAACCACAACTTGATTCCACCCCTGCCCCAGTTAAGTAAATCGTGTCCCTGGTTTAAAAGCAAGGTGTTTAACTTACTGGCAAAAATTATTGTTAATGTGCTTTTTTATATGTTTCACCTCCCTGTTTTACCTGGAGGAACAATGGCATTCATAAGCAAAAGGCACTAAATTTGACTTACCTTTTAGAAACTTAAATTTCTTCAGAAGATCAGCACCTACAAAAGAGTCACAGAGGTACAAGAGAAGTCCACTGAAAAACACCCCTTCACAGCTGACATTGCTGGAGTGGGGCCTGGAGCTGACGTAGCATATGGCCACCTGGAATCATCAAGCAGACATAGCATGGGCATTTCAAAAAGCAAGCAAAACATCTATACTTTAGCTGAGTGAGTCAGTACCTTCCATTTTAGGTATTTCAGGGTAAGGTAAAGGAGGTAAATTTTTTTATTGAAACTTAAATAGATTGGTTATTAAACTCTGTAGCTCTTTTATTTAGTGTGCCAAGTTTTAATCTATTTAAATCTTGTTTCTCCTAATGAAGGACAGTTAGGATTAGTAGTAAGAAACAAAACAGGCCTCTCCACGTAACTGCCTTCCACACAAAGGCATACTTAAGATTTAAATGTTTTGATTAGAAATTGTTTATTCTCATCAATAAGGTAATCAGCTTTTCATTTACATGAACTTCAATTTTCAATCAAACAGAAGCTTCAAACAGTACATGATTTTAAGTAGGCCCCACACCTAGTGTGGAGCCCAGTGTGGGACTTGAACTCAAAACCCTGAGATCAAGACTTGAGCTGAAATCAAGACTTGGATGCCTAACCGACTGAGCCACCCAGGCACCCCCAGCAGTGCATAATTTTTTATTTATTTGGGAGAGACAGCGAGAGAGCGCACAAGTAGGGGGAGCGGCAGGCAGAGGGAGAGCAGGAACCAGACTTCCTGCTGAGCAGGGAGCCCAATGTGGGGCTCAATCCCAGGACCATGACTTGATCCAAAGGCAGATGCTTAACTGAGCCACCCAGGTGCCCCACGGTGGATGATATTTAAAATTTAGTTCAATATGGCTTGCATGTACAGAATATAACTTTATAGAAATTACAGGGTAATAAGATAGTTGGGGAGACCTTGAGAACAATGAAATGGCTTAATATGTGGACCTGACCACTTGGCTCCAAATACTGGTTTTGCTGCTTCGTAGCTAGTAGGAGACCTTAAGCAGCTTCCTTCATTTACCATACCTCAGTCCCTTGTCTGGGAAAAGAACAGTAGTACCTGTTTCATAGGACTGTTTTGTGGAATAAATACTATAAGCTGTTAAGTAGGTATTCAGTGAGTGTTAGCTGTTGTCAGACAACGCAGTCTTTAATAGTTAATAACATCTAGAGCCCTGGACCCTGGGGTAGAGGATTTTGGAGATACCATAAAAGGCACTATTACACCTGATGGTTTTTAAGGTTCCTTCTACCTCTAAAATTCTACAATTCATGGTCCAACCCACAGTGTAGATTACTGAAATTTCATAAGAATAAGAAGTGTTTATGCTATTTGAATTAAAAATTAGTTCACAGGGGATGCCTGGGTGGCTCAGTTAAGCTTCTGCCGTTGGCTTAGGTCATGATCCTAGGGTCCTGGGATTGAACTCCACGTTAGGCTCCCTGCCCAGCAGGGAGCCCGTTTCTCCCTGCTTCCCCAGCCCTCAACTTATGCTCTCTCTCAAATGAATAAAAAAATCTTAAAAAAAAATCAGTTTTCAGAATTGAATACAGTTGTCTTTCAGTTTGAAAAATTGTGTATGTCAATACACACACCAAAAAAGCCAAAGAGGAAATAATAGTCTACCAAAATATTACTGTTCCCATTACAAGTGATTTTTTTCCTTTATACCTTTCATTTAAAAAAAAAAAAAATCCTTGGGGGCCTGGATGACTCAGAGGGTTAAAGCCTCTGCCTTCGGCTCAAGTCATGATCCCAGGGTCCTGGGATCGAGCCCCGCATCGGGCTCTCTCCTTGGTGGGGAGCCTGCTTCCTCCTCTCTCTCTCTGCCTGCCTCTCTGCCTACTTGTGATCTCTCTCTGTTGAATAAATAAATAAAATCTCTTAAAAAAAAGAAAAAAAATCCTTACAAAGAGTATATTATGTTAATGAATAGAATAAAATATTTTGAAAACAATACTAATCATAGAGGAAAGCTTAGTGGTAGAAGCCCTTAAAGTTCTAAAGGCCATCAGTGGTCTAAAGGTGTAAGTGACAGATTTTTTAAAAAACTAAAACTGATGGAGAATTTGAGACAGACAAGAAAAAGAGTGGAAAATGAGGAAACAATGGAAAAGAAAAATTCAGGAATAGAAAGTAGTGAAGTGACAGCTCTAAAGGTCTCCTGTGATCCCCTAAGTTGTACAACAGTCACGGAGCTCCTCTTCTGCCTAAAACAGTGGCTAAGACACTGTGTGCCTCTGAAGAACTGTGTCTTGTGGAGAAACATCATGTGATTATAAGATGGTCTGATAACTGCTTCCTTCCAAAGTCATGGGTAGGCTCCTCAGTGGAACTGACCTTTGAGCTAAGCTGTGAGTCTTCACTGGCTCACTGTGGAGCGCTTGAAGTAGGTATGGGGAGGGACAGTTGCCATCACATCTTGTGTGAGCCTTTGCAATATGTCACAGGCTCCTTCTTTGTCTCCATTTAAAATTTCAAATGGGAAAGAAATGGAAGTTGGGGTGCCTGGGTGGCTCAGTGGGTCAAGCCTCTGCCTTTGGCTCAGGTCATGAACCTCAGGGTCCTGGGACTGAGCCCTGCATCAGGCTCTCTGCTCAGCTCGCTCTCTGCCTACTTGTAATCTCTCTCTCTCAAATAAATAAAATCTTAAAAAAAAAAAAAAGAGAGCGATAGATGGAAGTGGATAAAAGCACAGTACCAGCCCTCTTCCCTTTACCTCTGGTCCAATGTTAAGGTAGCAGTCAATGGCCAATACAGGACTCTTGAAGTTATGGATGGCTTTGGGGAAGAGTTTGTAGGAAGCGTGCTGAAGGAACTTCTCCAGGAGAAACTGCGCAGGGGCTGCCAGTAGTGTATGTTCACTGTCGGGAGCACAGACATACTGAAGGGGCAAGATGGGTGCTAAGCTCTCTGACACCTGAAATCAGAGCCAAGATTATGTGAAATATGTCTGTCACTGGATGAAACAGGCAAGGAAGAACTGCATTGCATACTAACAGTCCCCAAATAAGAGCAGTAGCACAGTGACAGATGGTAGGGCTAAACATAAGTGTGTTATTCTTGGGTTCTGAGAAAGTTTTTTCCCCTTGGGAATAGGTTGGGTCTAACAACACACAGCAAGGGAAGGAGAAATGTAGGGTTCTTTGAAAGTTACTGCATTTAGCAACATTGTGAAGGCCCACAGGACGCCTTTCTCAGTGCTGCTGGATGTGCACAGGTTAAATCCCATCCCATCAGATCCAAAAAATAAAAGCAAAGAGGTTTCTAAGCTCCACTGCGGAAATCACATATTATAAATGATTAGATACCAGTAAATCTCTTAAAAGAATTGGTTAGGTCCATGGAATTTACTCTCAACAAGTGCTGATTGGTATTACTTTCTTAAAAAAGAAAATGGCAAAGGAACAGACAAGCATCTTAATTTTCACTTATGTATTAAAGAATGTAAAGATGTTAATTTTGCCAGTTTATGAAGAGAATGTTAAGTTTGAAACTTGAGATTTGATGGAATTGTTAAGCCTTAAGTCTAAAGAAAGGTAGATCTGTTGACTTCACATGTTACGTTTTGCTCTGGGTGAATCCTCAGTAAGGGGAATGAGACTGCAAACTTGGCATTAAGAACTGATTCCCTTGTGTTGTATCACTTTCCAGTCAAGTGCCAAATAACAAGGACTGGTGAGAAACTGTCTTAACTTTCAACAGTAGAATCAAGCTTGCAAACTTACCATGATCTTTGGTTTAATGATAAAGTCCCTTTGCCCTCCAACCTGAACATGTTTCTTCATGAGACTGAAGTTATTAAAGCGGCAGATGAGCAGGCCACTACTGTTTGTTCTCAGGTTAAAGTCAACATCTTCACAGAAATACCTGAATCATAATCACAGGGATAGGTCTTTGACTACCTGGCACATCCCAGCCATGTTCACCACACACAGATGCATCACAGCTGTTAGGAGACAGACTCCGAATCAGCCTTGCCTTCTGGAGCTGGCTGGTCCTCTTAGCACTGGCCTGTGAACCCCCTAAATTGGGCACTGCAGTCATTAAAAGGAGGAGAAAGTGAGATGGCTTTGGCCCCAGATAACCAAAGGGGCCTGAACTGAAGCAGGACTGCACATTCTGTATGCTCCTGTGGGAAACGAATGCACACATGCTCCCAGTTTCAAAATCCTGGCTGCAAACAACATGAAACAGCTCCAGCATATTCTAATAGTTACAGAGGTGGTGGCTGACATAAGCGGGACTAAATGATCCCTGACATTCCTCACTTGGCCATCTTGGATTTTCCAGGATGGGTATGTTATTTATTCAGGAGGCAAGACCAGGGCTAGCCTGCTCATTCCGGCCTGCTGGCCCTTCCCTGAAGGATCCAAATCTCTGGATTTTACTAACATTTAGGGAAAAGGATTAACTTACAAGTTCTGAGGATGAAAGAGTTCACCTTCAATGGATTATGGGTCCACACACTGATTTGTGTTTTGTGTTAATAGTTTCTGTCCTGTTTTAGTTCTTGTTGAATAATGGGATAGCTAAAGTAGGTTTTCTAAGCCCTTCATGTTGTAATTCCTGTTTTTTTAAGGGTCTGGGTCAGTTTGAGGGACTAGGAAGGGGCACTTTGGGGCTTGTGATCCACTCCCCCTCCTTGTCCATAAAAGGAGATTCTCGGTTTTTCAAAGACCAAATCAAAGGAGTAGACCCATTATAGGTGTCAGAGTTGGACCGAAGCAACCAGTAGGTACCAGGATTACTTGCCTCCAGGAGGCCTGACTTACCTGTTGAAGTCGTACTGTACATTCTGAGTCAAGTCTATGTTAAGGAGAATGAAGTCATGCACGTGGCACCTAGAAAATGGGGCTTTCAGGCTCTGAGAAGTCAACTTGCTGCTCCATTTCTGGATGCCCAGGATTGCATAGTGGATGATTTTTGGTGTTGCTTCAATATGCTGCAAGACACTCTTCAAGGACACATTCTTACTGGAAACTCCTGCTTCCATGGGCTGGCTAGGAAATGTAAAATTGGTTTAAATAAGAGATCAATAAATATTACTGAGAGTTGTTTGTTAAGGGCTAACACTACTATACAGTATTAATATCTGTAAAGGATAAAATTAGCTGGTTTACTTTATATTACACTGGGATAGAAAAGGTCAAGCCTAGTTTTCATGCTGCCCGTCACTGCCAACTTAAGGGAGTGGTCTTATGGGGGTAGGGCTTACCATGTTAAGGCAGAGAAAGAAAGCCGGCCCATCTCAAAATGAAGCACATTTTGAAGGTTAGAAGCACACAGGTATACCTCTGGTAATTACGGTGTAACAAAGGAATATTTGAAAACATCACTGGCTTCATATCCGCAAGTGGAAACAGGCACAATGTGTGAGCCAGAAGGGCCTAAAGGTCACCTGGAAGTGTTTCGGAGGGGGAGCTACTTGTATTTTGGGGCCATTTATTGCTTAGGACTTCTCCAGGTTTAGCATTTCCTGGTCCTCATAGACCCATTTTCACCACTGTCCTAGTTAGGAGAACCACGGATTTTGGCTCAACCCTAATTTCAGAGGTGAGGGAATTGAGACAGAGATTAAATGACTTTCCCTTTTCATCCGGGTAGTTACAGAGCAGAGCTGGGGTTAAAAAAAAGGTCTGACTCAGGAGCCAGTAGACTTTATAAAACAGCACTTTCCCACAGACTTTATAGCAGACCAAAGCCAGGATGCAGAAATAGCCCAGGAGCATAATGGCACACTGAATCTCTAAATTGAAGAGAGTGCTAGTGAGGGTAGTCTCCTGAATCATTGTTTTGCTCTGGAAAGCTGTACCTCTCTCATTTACTTCCATGCATGACTATAGCCAAGGAAAGGATCTTCTTCACAGCATTAGGTCATACTTCCCTAGAACGGCGTGGCAAGTACTACTACCTGCTCTGATCCTGAACACTGTGAATGTTCCACAGAACACACGAGTCATCCATCACAACGATGAAAGGCCAGACACACTGGCGTTTGACTCCCAGTTCTTCCAGGCGGTTCCTCTCCAGTTCCAGATTGTGGTAGGACAGCTCCTTAATGAGAAACCTGGCAGCACCTGGAAGGCAACATAACCACAAGCTGTACCTCCTTCACTCGGGCTTGACCCAACCCCCCCCACCACCACCCCAGACAACCTTCTTTCCAAGGCATGCCTGTTCATGTGGTGAGCATGCAGGGTGGGAGGGTCAACGAATTGTTCAGAGCAGTGGTTCTCAAATGAGTAAAAATAAGGAGTCTGTTTAAAAATGCTGATTCTGGAGCCCATCACCAGAGATGCACTTTAAGTCTGATAAAAGGCCAAAAACCAGAGCAGTCTTTGATAATGCAGAGGATTCATGCACTACACTTTAAGGGGTTCTGCAAGAATCCAGTTTCCCTGACGGGACAAAGGATACCATGTAGAGGAAATGCGTGTAACTGGTTAGTTCCTTTTAAAGCTGTAAGATGCGCTCTCAGTCCTAGAAGCAGCCACTTGCATGTCCTGCTCTAGAGAGTAGCCAGGGTTGTGGTGAGTGGGTATGCTGCTTATACTAATGTATCCCCTGCTTTAGGAGATAGACAGCAGTGTTTTTTGAAGAAGATTCTGGAAACTGGCATCCTTTCCCTAGATGGGCTTTTTTTTTTTTTTAAATATTTTATTTATTTATTTGACAGAGATCACAAGCAGGCAGAGAGAGAGGAAGGGAAGCAGGCTCCCCGCCAAGCAGAGAGCCTGATGCGGGGCTCGATCCCAGAACCCTGAGATCATGACCTGAGCTGAAGGCAGAGGCTTTAACCCACTGAGCCACCAAGGCGCCCCCTAGATGGGCTTTTTGCAAGAGGCGGTATGGTATAGTAAAAGACTGGAGCCAAGCTAGTAACATTTAATCCTGGTTCCACCACTTTCTAGCTGTGTGACAGTGAAAAAGTTAGATCCCCTATGCCTTGGCTTCTCCATCTATAAGAAGGCAATGATAATGTCCACTTCACAGGATTGTTGTATGGTGTTCACGACAGTGTCTAACATGTGGTAAGTACTTAGTATTAGAGATTATTAAGAAGATGATGATCATTAGATTCATCCATATTGTTGCAAATGGCAAGATTTCATTCTTTCTGTGACTGAATGATATTCCATTGTGTATATATGCCACATTTTTATCCTTTTTCACTTATCAATGGACACTTAGGTTGCTTCTGTAATTTGGCTAGTATAAATAATGGTAACTCAAGCCAGTCAGAGAAAGGAAATACCACATGATTTTACTCATAGGTAGAATTTAAGAAACAAAATGAACGAAGAAAAGAAGAAAAAAAGACAAACCAAAAAACAGTTACCTATAGAGAACAGATGGTTACAGGGAAAAGGGGTACAGGTTGGGTGAAATAGGTGAAGTGCATTAAGAGTACACTTATCTTGATGAACACTGAATAATATATAGAATTGGTGAATCACTATATTGTACATCTAAAACATAACACCATATGCTAACTACACTGGAATTAGAACTAAAAAAAATTAAGATAATACTCATCACAGCCAAATTTTATATGAGTGGGCTACCTGAAAATGAAAATGTAGGTAATGAAATGAAGAGATTAAACAAGGCTATTAGATCTATGGAGGAACCAGAAAAACAGTTTGAACAGATCAAGGGTACTACTAGAGATTAAGGAAAATCTACCTTCCAGGCACATTTGTGTAATACTTTGTATTCTCAATGTAGTAAGGACCATATATGAAAAGCCCACAACTAACACTGTAATGGTAAAAGACTGAAAGCTTTTCCTCTAGGATAGAACAAGACAAGGATTATTCCATTGTACCACTGCCACTTGTATTTAACACAGTACTAGAAATCCTAGCCTGAGTGATTAGGCAAGAAAAAGAAAAGGCACTGAGGTTGGAAAGGAAGAAGTAAAATTATCTGTTTGTAGGCACATGACTTTATATGTAGAAAGCCATAAATATTCCACACACACATACAAACTGTTAGAAATAATAAACATGAATTCAGCAGAGTTGCAGATACAAAACAAAAAATCAGTTGTGTCTCAATACGCTAACAATAATCTAAAAGGGAAATTAAGAAAACAATTCCATTTACAATGGCATCAAAAAGAATAAAATACTTAGGAATATATGTTTAACCAAGCATGTGAACTATCTGTACATAAAAAAGTACAAAACATTGCTGAAAAAAAGTAAACATGACATGGGTAAATGGAAAGACATCCATGGTCATGGATTGGAAGACGTAATATTGTTGAGATGTCAATATTATCCAAAGTGATCCACAGATTTGATGCAATCCCTATCAAAATCTTAATGATTTATGTGTGTACAGAAATTAAAAAAGAATCCATCGTTAAATTAATGTGGAATCTTAAGGGACCCTTAATAGCCAAAATAACCTTGAAAAAAGAACAAAGTTGGAGGTCTCACAGTTGGCTGATTTCAAAACTTACTGTAAAATGAGAGTAATCAAAACAATATGGTAGTGACATAAAGACAGACATATAGGCCAGTGGGATAAAAATGCAGAGCCTAGCAGTAAGGGCCCAACCCTAAGGACCTGTACAGTCAAATGATTTTTGACAAAGGTGCCAAGACCATTCAATGGGAAAAGGACAATTTCTTCAGCAGATGGTATTAGAAAAACTGATATTCCCATGCAAAAGAATGAAGCTGGACCATTACACTATATAAAACTAAAATGGATCAAAGATCTAACTGTAAGAGCTAAAACTATAAAACTCTTAAAAGAAAATAGGTGAAAATCTTGCTGTTGTATGTAGCAATGATTTGTTGGATAGGACACCAAAAGCATAGCCAATGGAAGAAGAAAACTTATAGTTGGACTGCATCAAGATTTAAAATATCTAAGCACCCATAACCAGCAAGGAAATTGAAGAAGCAGTAATCAAAAATCTCCCAACAGACAAAGAGCCCAGGGCCAGATGCCTTTCCATGGGAATTCTACCAAACATGTAAAGAAGAAATAATGCCTATTCTTCTGAAGCTGTTTCAAAAAGTAGAAATGGAAGGGAAACTTCCAAACTCTACAAGGTCAGCATTACTTTGGTCCCAAAACCATACAGAGACCCCACCAAAAAGGAGAATTACAGACCAATATCCCTGATGAACATGGATGCAAAAATTCTCACCAAAATACTAGCCAATAAAATCCAACAGTACATTAAAAGGATTATTCACCATGACCAAGTGGGATTTATTCCTGGGCTGCAAGGGTAGTTCAACATCTGCAAATCAATCAATGTGATACACTACATAAGTAAAAGGACAAGAACCATATGATCCTCTGATGTAGAAAAAGCATTTGACAAAGTACAGCATCTTTTCTTGATTGAAACTCTTCATAGTGTAGAGATAGAAGGAACATCTCAGTATCATAAAAGCCATATTGAAAAGCTCACAGCAAATATCATCCTCAATGGGGAAAAACAGAGCTTTTCCCTTAAGGTCAGGAACATGGCAGGGATGTCCACTATCACCACTGCTGTTCAACATAGTAGTAGAAGTCCTAGCCTCAGCAATCAGACAACAAAAAGTAATAAAATACATTCCAATTGGCAATGAAGGAGTCAAACTCTCACTGTGCAGATCACATGACACTCTACATGGAAAACCCAAAAGACTCCACCCCAAAGTTGCTAGAACTCATCCAGGATTTCAGCAAAGTGGCAGGATATAAAATCAATGCACAGAAATCAGTTATATTCCTATACACTAACAAGGAGACAAGAAAGGGAAATTAAGGAGTTGATCCCACTTATAATTGTACCCCAAACCATAAGATGCCTAGGAATAAACCTAACCAAAGAGGCAAAGGATCTATACTCAGACAACTATAGAACACTCATGAAAGGAATTGAGGAAGACACAAAGAAATGGAAAAATGTTCCATGCCCATGGATTGGAAGAGCAAACGTTATTAAAATGTCGATGTTGGGGCACCTGGGTGGCTCAGTGGGTTAAGCCTCTGTCTTCGGCTCATGTCATGATCTTGGGGTCCTGGGATTGAGCCCCGCATCAGGCTCTCTGCTCAGCAGAGAGCCTGTTTCTCCCTCTCTCTCTCTCTGCCTGCCTCTCTGCCTACTTGTGGTTAATCCAAATTGGATTTATCAAATAAATAAAATCTTTAAAAAAAAATTAAAAAAATGTCGATGCTTTCTAGAGCAATCTACACACTCAATGCAATCCCTATCAAAATACCATCTACTTTTTTTCCACAGAACTGAAACAAATAATCCTAAAATTTATATGGAACCAGAAAAGTCCCCAAGTAGTCAAAGGAATGTTGAAATAGAAAGCCAAAGCTGGTGGGATCACAGTCCTGGACTTCAAGCTCTATTACAAAGCTGTCATCATCAAGACAGTATGGTACTGGCACAAAAACAGACACATAGATCAACGGAATGGAATAGAAAGCCCAGAAACTGACGCTCAAATCTATGGTCAACTAATCTTTGATAAAGCAGGAAAGAATGTCCAATGGAAAAAAGACAGTCTCTTCAACAAATGGTGTTGGGAAGATTCGACAGCCACATTCAGAAGAATGAAATGACCATTTCCTTACACCACAGGCAAGAAGAGACTCAAAATGGATGAAAGACCTCAATGTGAGACAGGAATCCATCAAAATCTTGAGGAGAACACAGATAGCAATCTCTTTGACCTCAGCCACAGCAACTTCTTCCTAGAAACATCGCCAAAGGCAAGGGAAGCAAGGGCAAAAATAAACTATTGGGACTTCATCACGATCAAAATCTTTTGCACAGCAAAGGAAATAGTCAACAAAACCAAAGGACAACTGACAGAATGGGAGAAGATATTTGCAAATGACATATCAGATGAAGGGCTAGTATCAAAACTCTATAAAGAGCTTATCCATCTCAACACCCAAAGAACAAATAATCCAATCAAGAAGTGAGCAGAAGACATGAACAGACATTTCTTCAAAGAATACATCCAAATGGCCAACAGACACATGAAAAAGTGCTCAATATCACTCAGCATCAGGGAAATGCAAATCAAAATAACAATGTGACACCTCACACCATCAGAATGGCTAAAATTAACAAATCAGGAAACAGGTGTTGGTGAGTATATGGAGAAAGGGGAACCCTCCTACACTGTTGGTGGGAGTGAAAGCTGGTGCAGCCACTCTGGAAAACAGCATGGAGATTCCTCAAAAAGTTAAAAATAGAGCTACCCTATGACCCAGCAATCACCTACTGGGTATTTACCCCAAAGATACAAATGTAGTGATCCGAAGGAGCACATGCACCCAAATGTTTATAGCAGCAATGTCCACGATAGCCAAACTATGGAACAAACCTAGATGTCCATCAACAGATGAATGGATAAAGAAGCTGTGGTGTATATATACATATATATATACACCATATATATGTATATGCCATATATATGTATATATACATACATACACACACACACATACACAATGGAATACTATGCAGCCATAAAAAGAAACAAAATCTTGCCATTTGCAATGATGTGGATGGAACTAGAGTGTATTAAGCTGAGTGAAGTAAGTCAATCAGAGAAAGACAATTATCATCATCTCTCTGATATGAGGAATTTGAGAGGCAGGGCAGGAGGGTCATAGGGGGCACAGAAGGAAAAAAACAAAAAGATGAATTCAGGGAGGGAGACATACCATTAGGGACCCTTCATCTCAGGAAACAAACTGAGGGTTGCTGGAGGTGGGGAGGGATAGGATGGCTGGGTGATGGACATTGGGGAGGGTATGTCCTATGGTGGGTACTATGAATAGTGTAAGACTGATGATCCACAGAACTGTACCCCTGAAGCACATAATGTATTAATGTTAATAATAAAAGAACATTTTGCTAAGGGAAATAACTCAGACACAAAAGAACAAATATTGTAAAGGGGCGCCTGGGTGGCTCAGTGGGATGGGCCTCTGCCTTCTGCTCGGGTCATGGTCTCAGGGTCCTGGGTTCAAGCCCCTCATCGGGCTCTCTGCTCAGCAGGGAGCCTGCTTCCCCCTCTCTCTCTGCCTGCCTCTCTGCCTACTTGTGATCTCTGTCAAATAAATAAATAAAATCTTTTAAAAAAATTTAAAAAAAATGGCTAAGATGGTAAATTTTATGCTGTTTTATTCCAAATAAAAAAATTAAAAATTAAAAATAGTTTGCATGTATGTCTTTGGCATATACGTTAGTTTCTCCTCAAGTTATTGCAAAAATGGCAAAACTGGCATTAAGCAAATTCATTCAGATCTGGGATGAGGAAATTCACCTAAAGACTGGTAAGGCACAGAAGGGGGGTAATTTGAGGATCATATTCATATGGAGAAATATTTGAGTTAGTTTGTGGATTTGTGGTTTTGGAGAGGACAGAGGACCAGGAATATGTAAAAACCTTAATCCACTTGATATAGAGTCATAAATATGGAAAATAAAATCATATTCAAAACTAGTTTTTGAAAATATTTTAATCCCATATTAAGGCTAAACTTTAAGGAAATGAAAAGGGATGGAAGGGAGAACAAGAGACGAGACTTAATGGGACGCCTGGGTGGCTCAGTGGGTTAAGCCGCTGCCTTTGGCTCAGGTCATGATCTCAGGATCCTGGGATCGAGTCCCGCATCGGGCTCTCTGCTCAGTGGGGAGCCTGCTTCTCTCTCTCTCTCTCTCTCTCTCTCTCTCTCTCTGCCTGCCTCTGTCTACTGTGATCTCTCTCTGTCAAATAAATAAAAATAAATCTTTAAAAAAAGAGAGAGAGAGACGAGACTTAAGAAGGAAGGGAGAGAGGTGGACAGATCAGCGGAGGGAGAGATGGTGGGTGGGGTGAGAGGGAGAGAGGTGGTGTTGGTGCCTGGTGCCGGGATGAGAGAAGATGAGAACCTGGACAGGAGAGGAGTGTAGATTTAGAGATCTAGAGAAACTACTCAGGTCTCCTCTGCATTCTCTGTTTCTGGGCAGGATGTTCCTACGTCCCTCTAAAGCATCAATGAGCAACTGTTGGTCTTCAGTCCTACGGAGACTGCAGACACTCACAGGAGCAGATGGGGAATACGGTTAAGAACTGCGATGCAGGAAGTGACCAGACACACAGCTCTGAATCCAACTGGAGGTCTCCTACATCCACAGCTCTGTCACACGCTCAGATAACCATGTGCTCCTTTGATGACTCAGCGCATTGCTCTTAAACTCCATGGGGAAAAGTAGGAAGGACTTTGTCCGGGTACTGTTAAGATGGCTGCCATACACAGTAATGATGCTTCCAATTTCTGGTTGTACAGGACCCCCTCTTAGAACTTGCCACGTGACTTTAAAATGATTAGCAATGACTCAGGGACACCTCCAGATCCTTCCGGACCGTAGTGAGGTGCTAGCTCCCCTCCTCCTCACTGTTCCACTCCTGCCACAAGGGGCTCAGTCCTGGAAGACTGGCAACCGACTCTGGGAAGAATCCCAAACCCTTCCCGGAACGCTTAATCTACCAGTGACTTCTTCAGGTACTAGCCCTCGGAAGTTAAAATTTTGCTAAACTGCAGATAAAGGGAAAGGAAAACTCAACTTTAAAGAAGAATCAAAAGTCCTTTGGTCCGGTGGATAGGATTCTTTCTAGAGGCTGGGGAACCTCTCGAAGTCTCCCGTGCGGAGAAAGGAGGTCCCTTGATCTTGCAGCCCCTCTCCGCACCCCGGGGGGCCCCTTACCCACGCCTGCGTTATTGAACATCCCAGGGAGCACCAGCATGATGTGGTTGGGCCAGTACTTGCGGTACAGAGGCATCTCGTATTCTTTGACCACCAGAAGGTGCAGGTGGCTGATGCCCTCCATGGCATGAAAGAGGTTTAGGAGTCCGTGCTCATGGCGACCACTGGAAGGAGTGAAAATAGGGCTCTTGACTGCATTCAAATTCTGCTGAAAGGGGAAAAAAAAAAAAAAAAGAACCAGAGACCAAAAAGGGAAATTAAAACCCTTAGATTTAAGAAGTTTGGAGAACCCAATCTTGTATGTTGGGTCTGTTGGTCTGAAAGCAACGTTCGCATCCAAACACTGTCACCCACCTTGTCTGACACCAGGGGCAGCCGCATGCTCTCCAGGTGTTTGCCCTGCTTGCTGAAGACAAAATGACTCTCTTTGGACTTGGGAATGATGAAATAGAGCTGCACCTCTTCTCCCAGCATAGAGGAAGAGAATGTGAATGCGTGAAGAGTGGAGTCAGACATCTGTGTTCGTAAAGAAGGAAGGAAGGGGATGTGAGCTCATGGTTTGCAAACTCCTAGACCAGTCATTAAGGTTGTTTTTAAGAGAGGCAAACTGAGCCGATCCTTCTCCAGGCCACCAGAGCTGCTTGTGCCCATAACATCAGAAGAGCAGGAAAGGCAAATGCTTCATCTTTTAATCACTATCAGTGACGTGATAGCCAAGCATCTGCCTTCTACACAGCCTCCCTGAGGGTGGAGAAGTTTCTGTTGCTTGGCATGGTCTTTGCATTCCTCATGTTCTTTGAACCGCTACCACTCGGTTTTATGCAGAGGTTAAATATCCATGTGGGATGTCCTGCTCTCTGAACATTTTCAAAGGTGCCCAGTTAAAGGGGAAAATCACTTTCATTTATGTGAGTCAGGCTAGATAAATATCATTTTTCTAGGTAAAACATTAGGGCCAACATCACTAAAATGCCTCTGTGGCCCCATCTTTCCTAGCTATAGTAGAAGCTGACGAAGTTTGAATAGTCACTTGACCTAGAACTCTGGGTTCCAGGAAAAGACCAATGGACTTACTGAAAGAAAATATAAATCTGTCATCATCAAGACAGCATGGTACTGGCACAAAAACAGACACATAGATCAATGGAACAGAATAGAGAGCCCAGAAATAGACCCTCAACTCTAAATCTGATTTATTTTTTAAACCGCCAGAAAGTTGGGGTACCTGGGCTGGCTCAGTCAGTATAGCTCTTGACTCTTGATTTTGGGGTCATGGGTTCAAGTCCCATGTTGAGTGTAGAGCTTAAAAAAATAAAATTATTTTTGCTTCAAAGTTCAAATGCTCGGGATGCCTGGGTGGCTTAGTCAGATAAACATCCAATTCTTGATTTTGGCTCAGGTCGTGATCTCAGGGTTGTGGGATCGAGTCCCTCTTTGGGGTCTTTGCTCAGCATGGAGTCTGCTTGGGATTCTGTCTCACCCTCTCCTGTTGCCCCTCCCCCCTCTGAAAATAAATAAATACATCTTTAAAAAAATGATAAAGTTCACATACTCTCTCAGTAACCCATCTTAGTGAATAATTACATAAAGGTCTTTATGACAGTATTTGGGCTTCATGAAAGGATAGCATCAGTTTTCAGCAGCAGCTAGAAATCAGGTAGATTTCCCAAGAGTTTTAACCTAAATATTACATTTCATAGGAAAAAAGTATTGTAATTCTTCCCTTACATTCTAGTTCATTCTGCTTCACAAGTGTGGGAATATACTACTTAGTGAGTACTACAATTATAGAAACTAACTACACAGATGGAGGATTTTTAATAATTTTCTAAAAGCTGATGATTTATAGACTGGGGCCTTGAATCTTCTATATTCTGTAAAGCATTGTGAGTTGATTACAAACCCACCCACCAAAAGTTTTCAAGAACACCAAGAAAACAAATGGGACATAAAAGGTAACATGTATTAGAAGAGCAGAATGATCAATCCAGTTTTTCAGTATATCCCTTCTAGCACCTTGTGGGAAAAAGGTAAAGAAAGACCTGGTCCTTCAGACCAGAAGCAAGTTTGGGGGAAGTCCCATCAGCATGTCCTACGGGAAGGAAGAGCTGTTCTAGGTGTTCAGAACCAAGCCATAAAAATCAAGAATGTAAAGTGGCAGAAAGGAACATAGAACTTATCCCCCACATGGGCTCTGGACTGTCTTTGTTGCCCTTCACACCTTTTATGTTTATAGTTGCTCTGGCCAAGAAGAAGCCAAAGACTATGGAGTATTGGCTCATCTTCTGTGGTTCTACCTCTCACTTCTCTCTCAAGAAAAGATAAATACTGACTCCTCTGTATGCCTAGGGATCAAAATCACCCCACACTGGAGTCAGGATATGACTTGTCCGTGCGGATCAGCAGACCTATTTCCAGCTCAAAGGGCACACCCTGTGGACTTGTTAGGTAACAGCACCATTTTTGTCAACAACCCTCTCACCAAATCTTTTTCAGGATCACAGATAACAGCTAACCTCAATGGGACACATGGAACCATTTCCATGGAATGACTTCAGAGGCTAAAACTCAAGCTTCTTTCTCTCCCTTCTTCTCCCCCTGCCCACCATCCTAATAAGCTCACGGTAATGTTAATTTAATCACTTCCCACATTCTGTTCACAAATGAGCGGCTCCATCTCGTGAATGAGGTGTCCTCTGTCTAGGGCCTAAGACTGGGAGCCGTATTTTTCAGTCCTGACTCACAAAATCCACGTTGGGCGACAGGCAAGGACAAAGGGCCACACCTGGGAGGCAGAGGTGAAGTCCATGTACTGCTGGCATTGCTCGCAGTGGTGGAAGGTGTTGTAGGCCGCGTACTTGGTCAGCATCATGGACACCGTTCCTCGCTTCCTGGGCTCCTCGGCTTTGGCATCCTTTATTGCTTCTGTGTATCAAGGGGCAAAAAACCTTGCCATGATATGCATGGAGCCCCTACTCCTGGGAAAAAAGTCCCCCACTCCCTGAAAGGCTCTTCTGAGGATTCTATAACTTAGGCCCATGAAGTCAGGTACGAAAAGTAAAAGGTGGTCAATACATGTGCAAGAGAAGTGAAAAGCAAAGAGGAGAATTCCTTTAAATTTCTCTCAATGAGAGATTTCTCTGCCTGGATGTAGGTGCCCTGTGACCTGCAGAGAGGCACGCCCAGCTCTGCTTGCACTGACCTTGCTTGACCCCTGCCAGCTTCTCCGTATAGACCAGGCTCATCAAACGGTACTTGGGATCGTGAACGCTGACGTCAAAGGGCATTTTACTGAAGCTCTCGATGTCAGGCCAGGGCTCTCCCTCTGACTGGCTGACCTCACTGCTTTCACTGTGATCTAGGACAAGAAGAAAGAAAGTGCGCAGAGCAGCCAGACTGACCAGCCTCCCAGCCGTCCTCCCAAGTGTCAGGAACGAGAGGTTTTAGGAAACATGACTCCCAGATGGGTGGACAAAGGCATTTGTGAAAAATGATCTCCCAGGTCTCAGGGCAGAGGGGCTCAGATTTATCCCTTCAGGCCCAGGAGGAAAAAATGCCCTCCAGCAGGAGGGACTCATGGCCTCACTGGTCCCAGCATGAACCTCTACAGATCTGGTCCGCCAACTCCCGCTTCTAAGAGATCGATCGACTAGTCTCCCATCCCAGCTCCCAAAATGGTCTGGAAAGCTTATTTGATTTTGAGTGATCTAAATTCTCCCTCACAGTTTTCACTGTGGAATTTTAAGATATTCACAGCCTAAGAGATTTTTGGGATGCACTGAGCAAGATTCCCAGGGTCTGCTGCATGGGAGAATCACCTGGGAGCTTGTAAAAAAAATCCCCGTGCTTAGGCCACCACCCCCACAATCGATTTTAGTCCCCAGACACCTGTCACGGCAGTTAAAGCTGCTTAGGTGGCTCCAACACGCAGTCGGGCTGGAGAGCTAGAAGCCTCAGGTGTGAGTGCAGACCGCTCCTTCCTACTTCACACCTGCAGCCACCGCCCCCAGCTCCCAGGGAGCCCAGTGACTGTAAGAATTCCAGAAGGTGCACTGAAAGTGCTCAGACATGGCTGGCGAAGGGGGCTATCCAATAGAGGATAGTTATTGTCATTATTAATAAGATTCGTAAGATCCAAAAGCTTAAGACAAAGGAAGAAAGAGAAAAGCTTAAAAAAAAAAAAAGCCTAAAGACTACAAGTACAGCTATTATTTTTCGAACACAGTATCATTTATTGTTATATCCCTGAGCTAAAGTTTGCATTTTATTTAAAACCCCAAACTTGGGGCACGTGGGTAGCTCAGGTGGTTAAGCCTCTGCCTTCAGCTCAGGTCCTGCTTCCAGCATCCCTGCTCAGTGGAGAGTCTGTTTCTTCCTCTCCCTCTGCCCCTCCCCCTGCTCGTGCTCATGCCCTCTCTCAAATAAATAAATAAATAAAATCTTTTAAAAAAATAATTAAAACTCAAAGCTCATTCTAGTTTTTGTTTTGTTTTGTTTTAAATATCATCGTGGTTCTCCAGAGCAGCATCACATTCACCTGCACTGAACTGAGGTAGAAGGAATACAGCCAGACTAACCGCACGTCTCGCTACAAAGGCCGGGTTTGCCTGTTGCCCCAGCTGTGGCAGATTCTCTCAGAGCCCATCACACAGGTTAAAGCCCTAGAGGAGATCCCCAGAATGGGATCTGAGGAGAAAATTAAAGGTGTCGTTGCCTTGTGGCGCCCAGGGACTTTGTGGGAAGATTGGTGAGATGACAGTTTCCTCTTTTCTTGTCTGTCTGCCTTTGTCCTCTTGGTCCCAGTCCCCTCTCCGCAGCCCTAAGTGTTTCGAGGCCAACCTGGAGCTCTGGGTCTGCTCTGTGGTGGGCCTGGGGGTCTGGTGCAGCTCAGGTGGGGACACAAACAAGGAGAGGTGGGTGGGAAGATGGGATTGCGTGTGTTTGCAATCATGAATATGAGCTGGTGAGAAGTGGAAATAGGGCCAAAAGTGATAATAAAATGATTAAGATATGGCTGATTTTGCTTAGTCATGCTCTGGACTGAACTAGTCCTTTAGGCTTGTCACAGATCTAACTATTTAGGACAAGCAAGTGGGGTGAGGTCTGAGGGCCAATCTGACAGAAGAGGCCAAAGCCTTTACTTTTTCCAGACTCATCTTTGAGGCCCGTGGAAGAGCTTGTCTGATTACCCCTATTGCTCGCCTGCTCTCCCTTCCAGCACAGGCCATTGCTCCAAGCATGAAGCCCCAGTTTTGAGGCCACACTGTCCTCGGCTAGAGAACTAATGCTGGCTGATCCCTGCTCACACTCGCTTTCTGGCTTTGCTGGGTGGGCTACCTTGGAACCCTCCTACCGGTGACCGCTGGCCAGGAAGGGTTGGGAAAGGGGATACAGGCAGAAGAGGGTGGGAGATAATCTTCTTAAAACCAGCCCCCACGGGGTGCCTGGGTGGCTCAGTGGGTTAAGCCTCTGCCTTCAGCTCAGGTCATGATCTCAGGGTCCTGGGATGGAGCCCCGCATCGGGCTTTCTGCTCAGCGGGGAGCCTGCTTCCCCCTCTGCCTCTCTGCCTACTTGTAATTTCTGTCTGTCAAATAAATAAATAAAATCTTAAAAAACAAAAAAACCAGCCCCCACAGCGCTGTCAAGCACCAGCTCCTCCATCTTACTGTGAACGAGAAGGGGTTTGTTTACGGCGCTAGGTTTCGTTCTGCACAAAATTTTAATTTCATTATAGGAATCCATGTACCTTGCCTCAGAGCCTGCTGTTAAAGCAGGAGTAACCAGCGAGTATCAGGCACGCCCTGGACCCTAAGCAGAACACTTCAAGTGAATTTTAAACCCACAGAAGCAATTAATCCACCTACCAGGGCCTTCTAAGATGTCTCTTCGCCCTGCCTCCTGCCGGGGGTTGAGAGGGGAGGCCAGCAGAGGTGGAGGACTCCACCAACTTAACTAAAAAGTGGCCGCCGTGTCCTCACAGCCGTTTGCTAGCACGGAGCCCTCGGCCTCCGGATAACCCTGCACGTCGGCCCCCCGGAGGCCCCGCAAGGCGAGTTGGGGTCAGTGTCTCGTATCTCGGCCCGCGACCCCACACTGCCGGGGTTCGGAACTCACCCGTGTTGATCTCTCCCTCATCATACACGTCCACCTCCAGGAGCCTGATGAGCATGCGGAAGAGGATCCTAAGGAACTGCAGGTAGGAGCCGGTCTTTCCCACCTGAGGGAAGCGTTTTTTAGTTGGGGAGGGGGAGGGGTGGAGAGCCAAGGAGAAGAGAGACGCGATTTTACACCTGGGCTCTTGGATCTCTCCTGCCCCTGAGGCCGGAGCGAAGGCCTCATGGCTCTGGTCATTCCCACCCCCGCCCCCACCCGCACCCCCGCTCGCGCGGCTCCCCGGCTCCCTTCCTCCTTGGGGGCCGCGGGCCTACCTGAGGGGGGCCGGTCAGCAGCAGCCGCCGGGGGTGGCAGGTGCGGGCGCCGGAAGCGGGGTCCGGCTGGTTGCTGAAGTCGGCGTGGTGCTGTCGAGCCGAGGTCCACTGCCGGTAGTAGAGGGACTGCTCCTCGCTGCTCATGTCCTTGTGCAGCAGCGGCCGCAGGGAGCTCACCCAGGCCACGTCGGCGTGCGGCAGCAGCGAGGAGGACGCGGGCGGCTTGCCTCCTCGCGGGGAGCCCAGCAGGCTGTAGGCCGCCTTCGATAAGATCACGATCGGGGGCAGGGTGGCGTGTAGGCCCCCGCAGCCCTGGGGCGGCTGCCCGGGCCACACTAGGGCCCGGGGGCCCGAGGCGGAGGAGGACGAGGACGGCTTGGAGGTGGTGCTGCTGGCCATCTGGGGGCCGAGGGAATCGCACTCCTGCTTCAGGGTCTCCCCAGCTCCCGCTGTGCCCGTGGAGACCCCTTCATCCAGCCCCATGCTGTTGGCTGGGCTCTGGAAGCTGGGGGTCAGTGACAGCTTCTGGGACTTGTCGGCGGTGCTGGAAGAGCTCACCCCGTTCTCCATGATGGAGCCTGGAAGAGGACGCCATACCCTCCATCAGCAGGGCTCGGCTATTTATTCCTTGGCTCCTCCCTGCGTGCGGGGTAGGCTAGACTGACTTTCTGCCCGAGGGCTGTGGCCTCTCCAGTCCCAGATGCTGCTTCCTCTGCTGACTTCCTTGGGCCCAGGATGCTCAGGGCGCCCTGGGAGTAATTATACCCCCAGGTATAATTACCTACAGCTCCTTTTCTAAATCCTACCCCCATCTTTGTAAATGGCATAATGTTATTAAACTCTCCTCGGTGACCTCATTTGGATATGCCTCCTGATTCATTCCGGACCCTGACCCATACAGGCTCCAAGTTCCAGTCCTGCCCCAGGGCATCTGCCACCTGCTAGGGTCCAAGGGTCTCACACTTCCGCTTGTGGAGAAGTTCCCCAGGCTGTAGCCACTTCCATGGATGCCCAAACCAGCGTGGGGAAAGTCTCCGTGTGAGAGAGGATGTGAGGCACGATCTACACTCAATGGTCTTGCTTTCGTCTGTGCACTTGGCCAATTCACTTCAAATATGTCTTCCCCTCTGATGGGTCAGCCACTCTTGCATTTGTGGACAAACCAAAAGCTCCTACGTTCAGGTCTGACCACCTTCTCTGAGCTCAGACTGGTGCTGCTAGGCACGTCGGTCAAATCCCAACCTCAGGGGATCCCAGAGGACAGCCAGGAACCGGACGCTTTTGCAACCAAGTTGCTCCACTTGCTCATCTGACTTTTGTGTCCTTCCATCTTATACAAGAAGCTGCTTTTCCCCCCTCACAGCCTTGACCTTTGGAGCCTGTACACTTTGGGCAGTGAGCTTTCCCAAGGACCCTTCGAGTCAGCCCAAGGCTGAGGGATGTGTGCTCAGTGATGGGAGCACAGGCAGATCAGGTTGTCCCTAGAGGGAGGAAAGCTAAACAGCAGAAGGCAAGCCATGACCTTTTTGCCAGTTAATGGGAGCAAGGCTAAAGTTATGTGAGCCTTGGGGGCAGCTCTGGAAGTGCAGGGAAAGGGGGGACTCTGATTTAAAAGCCCCAGTAAGGAGGTAAACACCCCCTCACCTCTCCCTCGCTGATGCTGGTATCCAGAAACTCCCAGATGTGATAGTTCCCCTACCCTTCTGGTACTCTTCACTATCCCCCAAATCTCTGGGGAGCCTGGAGTTGGGGGAGTGTGTAGAGAAAGGTACAGTCCTGACCCCTGGCTGAGGCAGCAGCTCTGCGCACCCAGTAGAACAGTCTTCATGCTCTCCAGGCTAAGGGTCCCTATCAACACAGACAGCCCCACAGATGACTCTGCCTCTTCAATTCTCACAGCCATTCGACAGCAGCTGCCAGGATGAACAGACACATTAAGGCTGCTTTCCACTTGAGTTTGTATGTGTGTTTGCTTGTATGTGTTAGGATGATGGAAAAGGGGGGATGTGGGAAAGAAGAATGTTCATGGTGATCTCTAGTTGTGGGGTTTTCATTTTTATTTATTCATTTATTTTAAAGATTTTATTTGAGGGGGAGAGAGCTTGCACACATGCTGGGGTGGGGGGCAGAGGGAGAAGCAGACTCCCACTGAGCAGGGAGCCTAATGCGGGGCTCAATCCCAGGACTCTGGGATCATGACCTGAGCTGAAGGCAGATACGTAGCCAACTGAGCCACCCAGGTGCCCCTATTTATTGTTAGAAGTAATCTTCATCCCCAATGTGGGGCTCAAACTCACAACCCCAAGATCAAGAGTCTCATGCTCTATTGACTGAGCCAGATGGGCACCCTGGAGTTTTGATTTTTTTTTTAAGGTTTTATTTATTTATTTGACAGATCACAGCAGGCAGAGAGAGGGGGAAGCAGGCTCCCCGCTGAGCAGAGAGCCTGATGCAGGGCTCCATCCCAGGACCCTGAGATCATGACCTGAGCCAAAGGTAGAGGCTTAACCCACTGAGCCACCCAGGCGCCCCTGGAGTTTTTATTTTTAACCTCTTCTCTATCCTTTGTTACATTCTCCAAGTTTTCTACGTTGAGTTTTATTACTTTCCTAATGAGAAAAAAAATGGAAACTGCTGCATTTGCTGTAATATAATTTATCAGAAGACAGTTCATGCCGGGCACGGCTACAGGCCCTTTCAGTAACCCTTCAGGAGAGGGGCTGGCAGGCTGCATGGTGGGTCAGCACAGCCAGTGACCCCAGAGTAGCCTTTGGTCTACCAACACTTGCCATTAACTGCTTATAAAAGTCATTCATTCATTCATTCATTCACTCACTCATTCATTCATTCAAACACTGTGCCAGGTATAAAGCCAATGAACACAAACTTCACAGCTTTCAGATCTAGAAGGAAAAGAAGGCTTCTGTGCAAATATCAGATGTATAATATCCCTGAGGTGATTAAGGGTAGAAAAGACTAGGGAAAATGGTGCAGGCTGGGGTTGGTAAAATTTATTTATTATACTTAGCTCATTACCAAACTCTTCATTAAATGTTTGCCCATAGAAGTATTTTGTGGCAGTTCAAGAGTTAGGTTTTCCAAGTACCTCTCCTGGAGAACTGAGATCTGAACAGGATTCCGGAGTCAAGGAAGGCTCCTCTGACATGAGTGCAGGGTGTGAGTCATGCCTCCCCACCCACTCCTTCCCGTCCCCGCCCACTGCAGAGAGAAAAGGAAGCACTGACCCGAGGTTCCAGTGACAGCACTACTGTTGCTCTGTGGCCTCTCCAGGTCGATCAGCAGCTCATCAGCATCATTCTCGCTGGCGGTGGCTCTCTCCTGCTCCTTCCCGCTAAGGTCCAGGGCAACAGCGGGGCCCCGGATGACCTCTTTTGAGACGTAGCAGCACGCCAGACCCACCTCCTGCTCCAAGGCTGTGCGAGTTAAGTAGCTTGAGTCGATGAGCCGCAGGTCACAGTACTTCAAAGACCTGCAAATAAGTTAGGGTGTCTTGGGTGAGCCCATCTGGCCTGGAGTCAAACCTCAGCTTTGTCATCTCCTTGTTGTTATGACCTCGCACTAGCCGCTTCCTTTTCTCTAAGGTTAAAACAGAACAACAGCGCCTGGCTCACAGGCTTGTTGTGAGAGCATGTGGATGACGCAGGGAAGGTGTTTGCAGCAATGCCTGACCCACTGGCAGCATGCGGCTCGTGCTGTCTTTATTGACGTTGCTACCTTCTCGTCCTCAGGCCCTGGGCCCTTTAGAACTTGGGAACAGCAGATGAAGAGACACTTCATCCAAATAAAACGATCCCAGTTTGGGGCAGATTTTTTTTCCTCCCTGCCCCTCTGGCGGCCCTGCTTTGATGCGGAAACACTTCTCACTGTGGCTACCTTCCATTCCCCCAAATGCTGGGCAATCTCTGGAAAGTCCAAAGAAAGAGGCAAGGAAGGGTGTGTGTCTTTTCCCTCTGAAGAAAGTGATTCTCTTCTTCTTTGCCCAACGAGTGAAATGGCTAAGTGTCAGCCGGGCAACTAATGAAAAATGAGAACTGACCATTCGCGTTGTACCTGGGAAAGGTTTCTCCAAGAGGATCTTTGCCAGTTAATATCACGATACAAGGCAGACCTTCTAAATCTTGGTATGTCCGAGGGGTCCACTCTTCTGGTTCATTTCCTCTCCAGGTCTGTAGAAAGGGACCCATATGATAAAATTAAAACCCTTATTTAAGTTTCCACTTCTTAAAAGGTTTCTAGGTCCAGATTTTATATGCCTTTGTGCTTCCAAATGACTTCCAGTGTGTGTGTGTGTGTGTGTGTGTGTGTATGCGTGTGCGTGCACGTACTAAATTGCTCTTAAAAAGCATAATAAAGCACTCTGGAAGAATGTGGCCTTCAGTTTTATCTCAGTAGGATAATACAGGAGATCTTGGTGTACATCACACAGTAGCACACAGGCCAAAGAAACATACAATGTGAACGACCTTGGATAAACTACCTGACTCAAGGCTCTCAAATATACTTTCTTCATGTAAGGGACAGACTTCCGAGACAGACTGACTGAAAAAGATAACTTCAGTTACGAATGACTAATAAAAGCATCTCAACAAAACTCCACGAAAACAGACATTTTCACCATGAAAATCGTGAAGTTAGCTACCCTTGATGGTTATTTCTTCTTTCTCTCTATATAGATTTTCAAAATAAGTGACAAGTAATTGGCTTGGGGCTCTCAAAAGTCTCTCTCAAGAAGGCTAAAAATATAAACAAATCTGGATCAATTAAAACAACAACCCTGCCCCTTAGAAGAGTAAGGCAATTAGTTTATGGTTTCACAAATAACCTATGAAGCATCACCTTCTGATATAGATGAACACATATGTACACTATGTATATCTTTAATAAACGGAATGCCAATCAGTGAGAAGAAAAAAAAAACCCACCAACTTGAAAGATGTTCAAAAATGAAAAGATCTTACAGATTTTTATATTTTAGAGCAGAAAGAAAATAGGCTGTGTCTTAAGTAGATGAGGTGGTTTCTACTACTTTTACAAAGTGTCTAGCGTTTAACTATGCTCATAACAGCTTTCCAGGAGGAGTTATTATAGGAAATAAATGGACACTTCTGGTAATGCTTTAGGGAACAAAAAGTAAGAGATGTTAAATAATGCATACACTTCATTTTTTTAAAAGAGTTTATTTATTTATTTGACAGAGATCACAAGTAGGCAGAGAGGCAGGCAGAGAGAGAGGAAGGGAAGCAAGCTCCCCGCTGAGCAGAGAGCCTGATGCGGGCTGGATCCCAGGACCCTGGGATCATGACCTGAGCTGAAGGCAGTGGCTTTAACCCACTGAGCCACCCAGGCGCCCCAAAACTTCATTTTAAAATAGACAGGTACTTCTTTTGCTAAACACAAAATGGGATAAAAAGAAATCTAATAGGCAAGAAAAAATGTAATAAGATTTGATTAATGATTTGTTGGTGTCTAGATAAAATAGCCTTTAGAAATAAATATACCCACAATTATTCAAATAAAATATACATAATTTATAAAGTGGGAAACACCTTAACCTTGTTTTTTTTAACTTTTTTTTTATCATATATTTACATACCAAAGGGAAATCAGTGGATCTATATAGCTGTTTACAATTTTGAGAGACTTTTTTTTTTTTTTTTTTAGAAAATCAATCTATCCAGGTACTTGGGTGGCTCAGTGGGTTAATCATCTGACTCTTGATTTCAGCTCAGTCTTGATCTCAGGGTTGTGAGTTTAAGCCCTGCATTGGGGTCCATGCTGGGTGTGGAATGTACTTTTAAAAAAAAATCTATCAAAAATATTTTTTTAGGGATGCCTGGGTGGCTCAGTCAGTTAAGCGTCTGCCTTTGGCTCAGGTCATGATCCCAGGGTCCTTGGACTGAGCCCTGCATCGGGCTCCTTGCTCAGCGGGGAGCCTGCTTCTCTCTCTGCCTGCTGTTCTCCCTGCTTGTGCTTTCTCTCTCTCTCTCTCACTCACTATTTCTCTCTGTCAAATAAATAAATAAAATATTTTAAAAATATATTTTTTAAATATTAGAAGAAAGGTACCTACAAAATTTCGATTTTCCATACATTGTCATGTCAAAGTGAGTATAATAACACTTTGATTTAGAGTAAACAATTTTGGGAACAGGAATCATTTTACTTATATAATCTTTGCATTGGGCTCATGATGTCCCTGACACTGAGGCTCTCCTTGGATGGATTTCATCTCCTAGGAACGATCCACTGGTCATGGTTCTACAAATAATGAGGTCGTTATAATGATGGGATAAGGGATATTATGTTTAACTCTATGAAAAGATTTATTTTTCAAAGGTTGTTAGGGAAATCTTGCTTTTACTCTTGACCAGTCAGAGCTAGCCAAACCACTACAACATGCTTTCCGTCCCTCTGCTACTTCTGATGAAGGATGGTTGTAGTTCTTTGACGGGCTGACCATGCCTTCAGGATGATTTCACAGCAGAGCATTTATTTATTTATTTATTTAAAAAAAAAGATTTTATTTATTTATTTGACAGACAGAGATTACAAGTAGACAGAGAGGCAGGCAGAGAGAGAGAAGGGGAAGGAGGTTCTCTGCTGAGCAGAGAGCCTGATGTGGGGCTCGATCCCACGACCGCAGGATCATGACCTGAGCTGAAGGCAGAGGCTTTAACCCACTGAGTCACCCAGATGCCCCATTGCAGAGCATTTAAAACAACACAAAAGACTGGGTGGGCACTGAGTTCAAAAAAATATGCGGCTCAAGGCCAAGGAAATTTGATCAAAACCTCACAGGCCCTCTGGAGGAACTGATTTATTTAGATTTAAGTCTTGTATCCTTCCAGAATGCTTGTCATCACTTTTATGTGATAATTAGAGGGAACCACAAAAATAAGGCCATCCAATGGAAGAAGAGGCAGAGGATGTTACCCAAGACTACAGATAAAAGGCACACCTACCTACCCATGCCATCCTGACAGTGGTGAGGGAGGCTGGTAACTTAGAAATAAATACATGAAGGGGCACCTGGATGGCTCAGTTGGTTAAGCATTTGACTCTTGATTTCGGCTCAGGTTGAGATCTATGGGTTGTGGGATCAAGCTCCGGGTCGCATTCTGCACTCAGTGAGGAGTCTGCTTGAGGATTCTCTCTCTCTCTCCCTCTCCTTCTGCCCCTCCCCTGGCTCATGGTTTCTGTCTCTCTCAAATAAGTTAATCTTTCAAAAAAAAAAAAAAAAAAGAAAAAGAAAAAACGAAATAAACCTGTGAAGCAGAAACCACCCGGCAAGTGTCAGTCTTGCTTAGGATATGAACATTTCCATGGGATTTCATATTTTTACTTCCACACCAAGGAGAAAGGATGGATTGATGGGATCCACTGGTTTTGACAGTACAGAAATCTCTTTTGTGCGCCTGGCCCCTGGCAGCTACTCATACAAATTGAGAATCTGAGAAAGACTGGACCCTGCCTTCATGTATGGCATGCTCTCAGAAGAGTGCTCACAGAACCACTGCTGTCTAAAGGCCCTGAAGCTGATTCTGATGTGCTAGCAGCCAGTTAGGACTCTTGATCTCAGGGCTGTGGGTTCAAGCCCCACACAGGGTGTAGAGATTACTTATGGGAGTTAAATAACAACAAAAAAGAACCTCAGGTCTTTGTGGTTTTCAGCCTATGGCCCAGAAGGGTGGATTATTTAGGACCTGCTGATTTATGCTGATTCAGTGATTGGTACTTCTGAAGACTCTCAAGAAATGAGCTCAGCTATGGGTGGCTATACTTGATCAGGGTCATGGAGACCCAAAGAAGATTCTGCAGCCTCACATCCTCTTCAGCCATCTCCCTGCAGATTATTTGCCTTTCCATTAGTATCATTCAGATTTTCTTGAGACATACGTCTCAATGAATTATACTGTAAGAAGAGTTTTAGGACTCTCACGTGTTACTCATCTTAGAAATCTCGCAGTTATGCAGTCTGTAACTATCATTACAAATTGTGAACATTATATCTACATGTGAAATATAAATGTTTCAACTTCCACTAAATATAGGGTTTTTATTTTTAGACAGATTTATTTGTTCCAGCTGCTCCTCAAGATAATATATTTTGTTTGCATTTTGGATTATTCAATTTAGGTTAAGCTAATAGAATACAATAAAAAGGTTTATGTTTGCAAACCACTTTATGAACATTGAATAACATCCTGAAATTAGAGCTCTCTGAGATCATACAGTCCAACTCTCTCATTTTGCAGGTAGGAAACTGCAGCCCGGGGTGAAAATGAAAATTGCCCAAGGCTATGTGTTTTCTTTTCATAGAATTTGTGCCAAACTAGATTTTTCTTTTCTTTCTTTTTTTAAAAAAATATTTTATTTATTTATTTGTGTGAGAGAAAGAGAGTGAGAGAGAGAGTGCACACAAGTAGGGGGAGCAGCAGGCTCCCCACTGAGCAAGGAGCCCAACATGGGACTAGATCCCAGGACCCGGGGATCATGACCTGAGCTGAAGGCAGATGCTTAACTAACTGAGCCACCCAGGCGTCCCAAACTACATTTTTCTTAACTTGATTTAGCTCAGTATTTAGTGTGCAGGGTACAGATACCATGCTGGTCTAGCTCAGACATATACTACTTGCTTGGCATCGTACCCACATATATGTGGTTATTTTATTAAATCCTTCCTAATGGCTAGGACAGATTGGATTATAAAAGTCCCCAGAAAAACCTGAGCAGGGCATAAAGTAGGGAGTTAGGTGAGTTGATTTAGGAATTCTGCCGACCCCCTCCATGCCTACCATGAGGGGTTTAGGAGAAGCAGTTCCACCGGCCATGGGAAGGGGTTGGCCTGTGCTCAGGCTCTAATCCTCTGGCAGCAGCCTTGGAGAAGTCAGACCAGCAAGCCTCAGGGCTGGCAGACAAGGAGAGTTCAATGAAGCAACAAGGGGTTGAAGAGTCCACGGGCAAGAGGGTGGGGAATAGCTCTATGTGAGTACTAAAGATGGAACAGAATCCTTTACCTACTGACTCTAGACTCAGCGCACAGGCTAGGTAGACAGAAAAGAATTAGGGAACTGAAGTCACTTAAAGGCGAACCCACAGAGGTCTGGGAAAACAACTTACCTTTCTTTCTGAGAAAACAGATGGCCGTGGGCTACATGCATCTTGACCAAGGTCAATAAACATGGGGTCAAATTGGGTCATCTCATTTTTGCACCTGCAGTTGGAGAGCATGGAAGACCAACCGCAGGCACATGCTAAAAAGGGGGTTTGACAGAATCTTAATAAACCGGCTCCAGGGAGGGAACTGTACACGTCCCTTGGTTTAGGCTTAACACTGTCACAAAGATCAAATCAACACATGTGTAAAACTCTACTAAACTCAGGCCTCTGAGCCACCTACGTGGGGTTCCTAGAAAACAGAAATAAATGGTATTTCAAAGGAGAGGTGTCCGACCATTGCTAACCTTTAATCGTGCCACAAAGTGCGTTGAGACACTGAGTTCAGAGGCAGGGTTCCCGAGGATGATCTCGAAGCGGTATTGCAGCCCCAGCTTGTCGCGCACCTCCTGCAGCCGCTCCTTGGCTAACATCGCCAGCTGCACGGAAGGCACCCTGATAATGAGCATGTGTCCCCTCCCACTTCTGGTTTTTCCCGGGGAGCTGATGAGGTCATCCATAATGCTGAGTGTTTCCGGGGTGCTGTGGTCTCGGAGCGACGCCATGGTGGTGAGAGCCATCAGAGCCTCTGAGTACTGCTGGATGAGAAGGTAGCAGCGGACAACCATGCTGTGCAGCCTGGGGTACCTTCAACAGAACACAGGGAGCTAGGATTTGGGCAGCAGGACCAGCTGGGACAGCAAGGTCTTTGTGGGAGGAATGCAGACCTGGCAGGGTGGGAAGGGGTTACTGCTCTGTGGTGGGCTGGAGCTGCAGTAGGACCTAGGAGCCCACATCGCTAGAAGGAAAAGTGGAGCTTTAAATCCCTGTGAGTCAGAAACTGTTGGGATAGGTACAGCAAGTTAAAGAGGGTTAAGGATGCTTCAGCGACCCTAGCTTCTCTGAGTGTGGTCTGTGGTCCAGGAGCAGTACCACCTGGGAGCTTGTTGGAAATACCAAACTCGCCCACTCCAGACATCTGAATCAGAACTCACATTCTGACAAGATCCCCAGGTGATTTGTATGCACATTAACTTTTGAGAAGCACTGATCTGGTCAGGTTATTTGTTGACAGAGTCATAACGGATCATCCCCGGACCCTAACCTCTTGTTGGTGGCACTGAGTTAGGATGGTGGTGTTGTCAGCTTATTCCTCTGATACTTAAGACTACAGTAAAGAAAATTGAGACATTAGGATCATGTTTGCCAAGTATCAGACATAAAAAGAATCTATTTCTATAGATTACTATTATATACTAATATATATACTATATATTATATATTACTGTTATATACTAATATATATTAATAATATATACTACTTCTATAGATTATATTATATACTATATTACTATTATAAAAATAACAGTAATTATTATTACTAGTAATTACTAATTTGAGGGTAGCCCCACAGATGGCAGTAACTGTATCTTCCCATACAATGTGCCTTGGGGCAGAAGAAAACTTTGAGCTGACTGGAGAAATAGCACCCCCTAGTGGCGAAGCCTCCTATCACCAGAGCCCTGCTTAGCTAAGGGAACCTGGCAAAGAGGGGTGTCCTTGCCTCATCCCAACACCCATCAGTACTCCATCCCCACCCCGTCTGGACTGCCAAGTAAGAGGATCACTTTGTTCAAATTGGTACTTTTTACGGCTACAGAGCAGGCAGAAAATTTATTCATGAATTATTTATGAGTTATTCCTCAGAAAGCCAGGTCTGTTGGCAAAGTGAGTACAAATGGGCAAAGAGGACCCCTTTGCAGGTACAAGGAGGTGCTGGTCAAGAAAAGAGGTGTTGGCAAAATGAGGATGAGCCTGTGAACTTTCTTTCTGGTTGCCAGCTGGTAGCACAGGCAGCCACCTAGCAGCTGGGTAGGCCTTGGGTGGTTTGCCTTTGTTCCACTTTAAAATTCTATTTAAAGTAGAACAAGTGGTCTGCCAGCCTTGCACAGAAAAGCCCTGGGTCAAATACCAGTTAGGGTCATCAAATGAATAGCGTGGTTTTGAAATACTTCAGAGCTGGAAAGGACTGTGGATGCCCTCCCCTTCCCACCAGAAGGAGAATTAAGCAGCTGACAGAAATCTGGCTACTGGCCCAAGACCATGCCACCGGTCAGGGGCAGAGCTGGGTCTAGACTCACTCAGGTCTCTGATAAGGTCTCCTTACGTTGCAAGGATTTAGTAGTTTGGGGAAAAGTGAAGAAATCCTCCAGTTTACTCAACCCTGCACCAGTTCTTCAAACACTCAGTAAATCACAGCTATTATTAGCTTCAGTGACTGGGCTGGAAGAAGTGAGCACACAAGATCCATGTTTTAGGCTTCGTGTTTTTGGATGGACCAGATAGGTAAGCCAAAGTTAGAACCCATGGTAATTTTGATCTATAGGCATTTAGATCTCACACTCTGAAAGAAGTCTGAATTTAGACGTGAACAGTCTTCACAACCTGGTTGGTTTGCACTGAACTGTAATTGTTATTTTGTAAGTATTACCAAAGTTGTAAGAGAAGTTGACAGGACTGACTCTGAGTGATGCTCCTGGAAGGAAGGGTACGTTCCAAGCTGGTGGCTGCAGTAGCTGCGTGGGAAACACTTAAAAGGGAGACTCATGGGATGATTTTGGAAATGTAAGATCACATGTGCTATAGAAGGATTAATGTCACAGTGTCAGTTAAGTCTTCTTAAATCCAGCAGCTGCAAAAATATAAAACCCTACTCTGAGGCTGCTCTTTTCGTTGGTACAACGTAATAACTCACTGGTAGGCTCCCCCCACCCGTCCTCATTTTTTATTTCTCTTTCTTTTTTCTTAGCAAAGTTATAGAACAGGTTAGTAAAAAGGTGGCTTGTGATCAATTTGAAGAACAAGAGCTACTAAAAATTAGAATGTGCCTCATCAAAAAGAGTCCACCTGCCCCCATCATCGAAGGTCAGACAGACTCCTGCAGCGGGGGCCAAGGGGACCCTCTACCAGGTTACGTAAATTCTAATGTCTCTGTGACACTTCAAGTCTATGATTCAAGATCAGAGAGAAAAAAAAGGAAAACCCTTTACTCTTCTGGAGTTTGACCAGGACTTGGGGGAAAAAAGAAAGCAGAGGAGACAGAAAAGTCATGATCTTTAACTCCCAAGGTCAGGGACTGGAGGAGGCTCATTAGGAGCTGAACTCACTTCAAAGATTTAATTGCTCCTACTTTTCTCCAGTCTGCAATCCAAATCTCTTGTAGTAAAGTTCAGTTTTTACTGAGTCATCTAAGGGTACTTGACTGGGTGGATAGAAGGGAAAAGAGAAAAATGAAGAAGTGTAAGGCCACAGCTCAGAGAAATGGTCTTTAATCAGCAAATCTCTCTGTCCATCTAACCCCTGGTGAGAGCAGTAAAGCATGCTTGGGAGATGATTCAGAGCATGGCAAGTGGTTTTAAGTCCCACCCTGGGTCGCTAGTTTCCTTTGTTCGTCTCGGATGATCACAGAAAACCTACACGGGTAAAAGGTCATCTTAGGAGAGGCTATTTTCACTCTGCCTTTGAATGTCATCTGCACAGCGGGGGCTCCACGAAGCTCCCTGTGACAGTGACACAAGAGGCTTTTGGCTATTTTAGACACACAAGTACTGCTAAAGGAAAAGCTGAAGGTCCTTACTTACCTTTCCAAGAGCGTGTTCACCATTTTTTCAAAAGTCTCATCGCATCTCAGAAGGGGGCTTGTGATTCCCCACTGTAGAGACTTACTGTATTCATTCAGGCCAAAATACAGCTTCTCCTGGCAGCTCATGTCCTCCTGATTCAAAATAGAGCCAAACCCAGTGAGGAGAGGATACAGTGTGTCTTGTTTTCTAGGGGTGTGGGGGGCGGTTTGGAAATCCCTGCAATATGTTATTTGCTGGAAGGTTAAAAAATTGTGAAGAAACAAGTGGGACTACATCAAACTAAAAATCTTCTACATAGCAAAAGAAGCCTCAATAAAATGGAAAGACATGTAGTATAGGAGAAATGTTTGCAAATCATGCATCTGATAAGGGATTAATATCAAAAATATGTTTCTAAAAAACTCACATAACTCGGCAGCAAAAATCTCAAACAATCAAAAATGGGCTCAGGAACTGAATAGACATTTTTCTAAAGAAGACATACAAATGGCCAACAGGTGTATGAACATGTACTCAACACCACTAATCATCAGGGAAATGCAATTCAGAGTAAGGATCTAATGTACAAGATGGTGACTATGTCACCTAATGGGATGTCACCTAAACACCCGTTAATTTTTTTTTTTTAAGTAACCTCTAGGCACTATGTGAACTTGAATTCATGACCCCAAGATCAGGAGTCACATGCTCCAATGATTGAGCCAGCCAGGTGCCCACCTCACACTTGTGGGCATGGCTGCCATCAAAAGGAAGAATGATAACAAATGTTGGCAAGGATGTGGAGAAAAGTGAACCCTCATGCTTCGTTGGTGGCAGTGTGAATTGGTACAGCCACTGTAGGAAACAATATGGAGGTCCCTCAAAAAAATTAAAAGTTGATCCAGGAATTCCACTTTTGGGTATTTATTCAAAGGAAAGGAAAATGGATACAGAAGAGATAAATGCACTCCCATGTTCATTGGGCTTTATTCACAATAGCCAGGATATGGAAGCAGCCACGTGTCTGTCAGTGGATGAATGGATAAAGAAGATATAGTATGTATATGTCCACACAATGGAATATTATTCAGCCATGAGAAAGAAGGAAATCCTGCCATTTGTGGCAACATAGGTAGAAGTTGAAGATATTATGCTAAGTGAAATAAGAGAGAAAAAGACAGATAGTACATGGTTTCACTCATGAGGAATCTTAAAAAAAATCATCAAAACTCATAGAAGCAGAGAGTAGAAGAGTAGTTGCCAGGGGTGGGGGTTGGGGGGTGGGGGGAATAGGAGTGGGGAAAGTGTGGGGGGAGGGAATAGGAAGAGGTTGGTAAAGGGTACAAACTGTCTACTGTAAGATGAATAAGGTCTGAAGATCTAATGTATAATATGTTGACTATAGTTGTGAACACTATAATATATAATTGACATTTGCTAAAGTCAAAATGGAATGTCCTCACCAAAAAATATATACATAATACACACACACACACACACACACACACACATATATATATATACATATATATATAAAAAATAAATAAGATGACGGGTGTGTCAATTAACTAGAAGGGAGGAGTCCTTTCAAATCATCACAATGTACACTTTAAATATCTTACAATTTTATAACACCAAAAAAAGAATGAGATCTTGGAAGCAAAATAAGAGAGAGGGACAGGCAAATCAAGAAACAGACTATAGAGAACAAACTGATGGTTACTGGAGAAGAGGTGGGTGGAGGGATGGGGGAAATAGGTGATGGGGATTAAGGAATGCACTAGTGGTGATGAGGACAGGGTGATTTATGAAAGTGTTAAATCACTATATTGTATACCCAAAACTAATATAACACTGTATGTTCACTAACTGGAATGAAAATAAAAACTTAAAAAAACAACAACCAAGAAAATAATGAGTTTTTGCCATTTGCAACCACATAGATGGAACTAGAGGATATAAGGCTGAGATAAGTCACACAGAGAAAGACAAATGCCATATGATTCCACTTACATGTAGGATCAAAAAAAAAAAACAAAATAAATGAACGAAGAAACAAAGAGAAACAAAAAGCAGACTGTTAACTATAGAGAGCAAAAATAAACACATCAAGTAAGCAAGCAAACTGGTGGTTGCCAGAGGGGAGGGGGATGGAAAGATGGATGAAGTAGATAAGAGGTACAAACTTCCAGTTACAAAATACATAAGTCACAGGGATGAAAAAGCACAATATAGGGAATATACTCAATAATCTTGTAATAATGTTGTTTGGTAACAGATGGTAACTACACTTATCACGGTGAACAGTGAGTAATGAATAGAATTGTTGAATCATTACATTATACATCTGAAACTAACATAACACCATATGTTAATTATACTTCAATTAAAAATACACACAAAATAACTATTGAAATATCTTTAATTTTATGTCAATTATACCTCAATAAGGCTGAAAAAATTTTGGTTCATTATATAGCCTGATATTAACTCTACAGTTATCTCTGGGGCAGAAACCAAAATTTCTTTTCCCTTCAAATGAATTAATATGTGGTTAATGTTGAGATTTTATTTGTTTGTTTGTTCTGTTTTGTTTTTTTAGAGAGGGAGGGCAGGAGGGGCAGAGGGAGAGAGAATCTTAAGCAGACTCCAAACCCAGAATGGAGCCAGACCTGGGGCTTGATCTCACAACACTGGGATCATGACCTGAGCTGAAATCAAGAGTCAGATGCTTAACTGACTGAGCCACCAACGCATCCATGTTGACATGCTTTCTTAAGGCAGATGGTAACTACACAGATGGTTTGTCCTCTCTTTGCTTTGTTCAGGTATCTTCTGAGGAATAACGTTTTTAGGCTGGTATAGTCACTGGTCAGACTTTTCCCTCATAAAGCAGCTCTCTATAATGATACTTCTCTATAGAACTATCTGGAGGTCAACAAACTAAAAAACTCTTATTATAAAAAAAACTTTTCTGACATCATCTAATGATGGTAATTCAGAAAATCTTATTTTTTTACAAAAAAATTATTTATAAATGGAATCTATACCTTTCTGCCTTCCTAAGCAGAATTCACTGTATTTATTCTCCTTCTTGATGACTCAGACATCACTATGAAATGAATAACTATTTTGGGACATGACACAAAGTTTCCCTCAGAGGATCCTGAGTTGTGTGACAAGTTGTCCTTAAACATAAATAGCCCCAGAATATTAAGTAAGCTTTTTGAGTTCATGTATCTGTTTTTTTTTCAAGCTTTCTTTCTTCTTTTCTACATTAATTTTTCCCAGTCATGCCTCCTACCTGTCACGTGTCCTACGTGTGTTAATCTTACTTTTATTTGTAATTATGTATTGACATTTTCCTTTAAACACTCTCCAACTCATTTCATAAAGGTAATACAGTAGCTTCAATAAAGTAAGCAATCAAAGGAAGAAGAAGCAAGGGTAAGAGATGTAAGATTGGGCCAGGCATGGAGCTTGTGCTCTCAAAAATGCACACAAGAAGTTTTTGTACATTTTGTTTCTGAGCTTTTTTAGTAACTCAGAAAAACAGATAAGCAACTGTGTGGTTTATAAGGTCCATAAGACAGAAAATAAAGCACTGTTTAATTGCCACTTTTAGTTTTTCTGTGGCCCCCCGGACCAGTTATTCCTCTTTGTTGGAACAGGATCTTATTTGAGAATAAATGCGCCAGAGGACCAGAGTATGTCCTTGTAAACAGTGAAGCTTTAGAGCATACACTGAGTAGCATCTGTTTTGAAGGCCTGGAAGCCTTTTTTTATTTGCTCCCTTCCTTCTGGATAATTGTGTCAAATAAGTCATTTCAGGATGAAAAAAAAAAGCCATTCATTAGAGTTTCTGTCCTTATCTGGACTGCTGGCACAGAGTCAGTGGAAATGACTTCTCTTTTGTGCCTGCTGTCTTCACTTTCCTTCTCATGCTTGGTCCTGCTTCTTTGGGAAAATATAAAATCCTACTCCAGGCCTGTTATTTTTCCCTGATGCAGCATTTTAATTCACTGGGCAGGATGCATCCACCTGTCCTCAATTTAATTTCTCTTTCTTTGCAAAGTTATGGCGGGGGGGGGGTTATTAAACAGATAACCTGTAACCAACTGGAGCCAGTATTTTCTTTATTAATCGATAAAGACTTTATAGATTAAGAATGAGATATACTAAAAATAAGAATTAGACGTGAATAGTTTCCCCAATCTGTTAGGTCTGCATTAAACTGTAACTGCAGTCTTCTAAGTATTATAAACCTTGTAATAGATGTCAGTGGGACCACCCTTTAAAATACATTTTACAGAGGTGTCTGGGTGGCTCAGTTATTGGGTGTCTGCCTTTGGCTCGGTCATGATCCCGGGGTCCTGGGATCAAGTCCCACATCAGGATCCCTGCTTGGTGGGGTGGGGGCCTGCTTCTCCCTCTTCTTCTGCTTGCGTTCCCTCTCTCACTGTGTCTCTCTCTGCCAAATAAATGAATAAAATATATTTTTTAAATATTTTATTTATTTATTTGAGAGAGAATGAGTGAGAGAGAGCATAAGAGAGGAGAAGGTCAGAGGGAGAAATGGACTCCCCAAGGAGCTGGGAGCCCGATGGAGGGCTCGATCCTGGAAGGCCGGGATCATGACCTGAGCCGAAGGCAGCTGCTCAACCAACTGAGCCACCCAGGCGCCCAAATGAATAAAATCTTTTAAAGAATAAAAAAATAAAATGTGTTTTACAAAGCTCTGAATGATGTTACTTGAAAGAAACAGGGCATTCCAAGAATCACAAATCGTACTGAATCCTTTGGTCTTTTGGGAAAATGTCCCTTCTCCCACAAAAACAAAAAAATAAAAAAACTCCTCCTCCCAAAGTCCTACCCTCCCAGTTCCCCCTCACCCACAGCTCTCCCTGTCCTCTCCCTGCTGTCCTTGCTTCTCACCAGCCAAATGCTCGGCTCCCTGGAAGGTCACCAAAGACGGCTGAGGCCAAATCCAGCGGCCTGTACCTGTCAGTCCTTGGCCACAGCCCTCTTGGCAGTTTTCTTCATTACATTCCTCAACGATTTTATCCACACCAGCTGCTTCAGTGACCACTGAAATTCTTGACGAAATATTCCAAATCTACATCAAAAATCCCCTGTAGAAACTCCAAATTTG